CCGCGGCCGGCCTCTGCCACCACCGAGGGCGGCGGTGCTCACGGCGGCCCTTTGCTGTCCGGGGACGGCTGGTCCTGCGCCTCGGTGGCGGGTCCTTTGAGCTCGCTGCCGGCGCTGGAGCTGAGATAGGCATGGGATGTGGCTGGTGCTGCCGTGTCGTGCTGTCGTCTTCCTGCGCTTCTGTGCCACGTCGGTGGGAGTTGTTGCCGCAGGAGTGGGTGTGAGTGGTGAGATGTTGGAGTCGGTTTGAGCAGCCGATGCTTCGGCCACGCGAGTACAGTAGTGGAGACAAGTCTGCGTTAAATGAGGTGCTCTGCTGCCGCGGTGGGCACTGAATGCGGACGTGATGGGAAGGGTGCGAAGAAGGGTGTTGTAAAACAAAAACCAGCGGGCGGTGCTGGTGGAGATGTCGTGCTCGTCGTAGCCGTTGGGACCAAAAAGGGTAAGGGTGTTAGATGGATCAAACGCGCTCCGCTCGGGCAGCCGCAACTACCCTCGGCGGCGAGTGCCGTCCTGCCGAAGGCGACGTTACGCAGGGATGTTGGAGAGTAGATCTGAGAAGTGGTGGTCGGCAAAAACTTGGGTGGATGATCGCTGGTGCGCTTCCTGTCGGAGGAGGAGACCACGCCGCGGTTGCCGACCACGGCACGGGAGGAGGAGCCGCTATTGCCGGAGAGCCTTTCGGCTGGTATCGGTCGTTGCCGCTGTGTGGGTGAAGTAGCCGGTTCGGCGCAACGGTCGGGGGCAGTCGGGCCGCCCAGATCGTGATGGGTTTCGCAGGCTCCCCTCCGTAGCCATTCTGGCTCAAAAATTTGAATCCCCTTGCGAAGCAGGTGGATACCGCTTGTCCGCGGCAAGCTTTCAATGCTCTCGCGTGCAGACAGCTCTGCACGCTTCCTCTTGCCAGTACGTCACAGGCCCCTGGTAGCCCATCTTCGTTCTTTCCATCCATGAATGGTGTCCAACGTGTGGCGTCGCTGTGGCTGTGCAAGTGTTGCCGCCACGAGATGACAGGGGGGCGCTGGTGGAACCACTCGGATGCGAATGTGCAAGGGGTGCAACGTTGATAACAGCTCCTCTTTCTTCTGCATTAAACTGCAACTTGGCCAACCATCGAAGTCTCGCGGCACACTCGACGTCGACCGCAAGGCTTCTCTGGACGTGGCCAGTGCCAAGGATCGCGCGATCGCGAAGCTCAACTCCTAGAAGCCGGAGGTCGTCACGGACATGGAAGTGGGCATCCCAGACTGCGAGCACAAGGAAGCGCTTGAGCAGATCACATCGACTCTCAAGAAGCCGTCGGCGACTCTGCCTTTGTGCCACGCCCTGCCGACCAGCAGCGCAACCTCTCTGAGAAAGAGCGGCTGCGTGCCAGCACTCGAACAGGAGTACCGCTCTGGAGAAGAGAAAAGAACTCCTGGTGCAGGCGTCAAGGCGTCAGGCGAGCCAGGGACGGGGAGGAGGGGAGGCAGAGGGACAGGGAGGCAGAGAGGAGGAGGAGGAGGAGGAGGAGGAGGAGGAGGAGGAGGAGGAGGAGGAGGAGGAGGAGGAGGAGGAGGAGGAGGAGGAGGAGGAGGGAGGAGGAGGAGGAGGAGGAGGAGGAGGAGGAGGAGGAGGAGGAGGAGGAGGAGGAAGGAGAAGGGATGAGGAGGAGGAGGAGGAGGAGGAGGAGGAGGAGGAGGAGGAGCATGAGCTTCAGGCCTGGCAAGAACTCCTGGTGCGGGCGCCAAGGCCTGCGGAATCCACCACGGCGGCCGCGAAGGCACGTGGGGCCGGTGGGACGTCGGCCCCGCGAGGACGGCGAGGAGGGCGGGGGAGAAGGGGGGGGAGGAGGAGGAGGAGGAGGAGGAGGAGGAGGACTGACTGACTGACTGACGAGGCGTGCGGAGACCAGGTCTAGCCTGGGCGCAGGACACGCAAATCAGACATGCGGGAACTTACCTCCGCTCTTGGGGGGCAGTCCCCTGGACAGCCGTGACAGAACCTCTTTCCCTGCTTTGGAGGGGGGGCTGTCCGTCTTGCAGGGCTTAGACAAACTCTGCGCATTCACCGTCGCATGAGCGCCACAGTGCAAACAGTAAAGAACTCCTCTCAAAACTTGCAATCGATGACTCCTGGCACACCTGGGGTACAAAGGGTGGGCCAGAGGGTCAGAGGAGAGGTGGGAAGGCCCCGCACACGGGCCAGGGAAAAAGTCTTGGACCTTCCCCCTCAACAAGAACTTACGCGAGCAAATCTGACACTGGAGGCAAGACCCTCGGCGCGTCGGCTCGTGGCCCGCCGCCCTCAGACGGCCTTTGCGCACCAGAAAGGACGGCAAGGGTGCAGGCCTTGGGGGGGGGCGTCCGAGCCTGTCCGAGACACGCCGAGGGTTCTCCGAAACAACCTCCTTATGGACCGCCAGCAGGCGGTCCAGAGTGTGACTAGTTATACGATCAACAAACCTAGTAGTTTCAACTTGCTCATCAGTGGGGGCAGCCCTTTGGGCCGCCCAGCCCGC